CCCCAGCAGGCTGCCCTCCAGCTCAGTGAAGGCTGTGGCTGCCAACACGTCTGACTGAGAGGAGCCTTCCCACCTTATCTCCCATCCAGGTGAACCAGAGTTGGCGCAAAGAACGTTTTCTGAATGTGCCCCTGTGCAGAGAGGACTGTGAGAACTGGTGGGAGGACTGCCGCACCTCCTACACCTGCAAGAGTAACTGGCACAGGGGCTGGAACTGGACCTCAGGTGAGAGCCAGACGGGTGGGGAGATGGAGGTGGGGTTTAGACAAAGGTGGTTTGAGGATTTGGGATTGCTTGAATATTTCTCGGGTAACCAGGGGCTAAAAGTCTGTGTCTATCCTCTCTCCCCCTGCAGGCTCTAACGAGTGTCCAGCTAAGGATGTCTGTTTAACATTTGAGTCCTACTTCCCCACTCCTGCAGCCTTGTGTGAGGGCCTGTGGGATCACTCCTACAAGGTCAGCCAATACAGCCGAGGGAGTGGCCGCTGCATCCAGATGTGGTTCGACCCAGCCCAAGGCAACCCCAATGAGGAGGTGGCGAGGTTCTATGCCTTGGCCATGACTTCTAGGGCCATGCCCCATGGGATTGGGCCTTTCCTGCTCAGCCTGGCTCTGATCCTACAACTCTGGCTCCTTGACTGAGTCCAGCTCTTCCCAGCTGTCCACTCTATCTGTCCCCAGCTTTGAGGACCAAGGACCACTGTCTGTTCAGCTCAGGNCAGCTCTTCCCAGCTGTCCACTCTATCTGTCCCCAGCTTTGAGGACCAAGGACCACTGTCTGTTCAGCTCAGGTCCACAAATGAAGGATCCCTAAGCATGCCTCCATCCATTACCCATCCTTTTGTCAACCAGTTCCTGTTCCATGGTGGGGCTTGGGATTTCTCTGATAGCCAGTTCTAATAAATAGACATATTCATGTCTGATGAATTATTTTGGTTGTGAGTTTGTGAGTGGATAGACGAGAGATTCCATAGCTTTTGGATTTCTTTAGAGAAATGAAAGCTGGGTTTCAGTCTTAGCTCAGCTACTCACTATGTGAAAGGGAACAGTTGCTTGACTGCTCTCAACCTTAGTTTTTTCCTCATTAAAATGGGGCTAATAATTCTTCCTTCCCTCAGGGTTGTGAAATATAAAGGAGCTGTTGCATAGAAAGTAGGTGAGCCCAGTGTCTGCACATGAATAGTTCTCAGGGACCCTGTTGCTCTTGTAGCCTCGAGTAAGAGGCAGGTCCAGGACTTCATAATTTATATTGGTCCGCAAATACTCCCTTTCCCCCAGGCCTTGTCTGTCTGCCTCTATGCTCAGCTATGTAATGAGCAAGCTGGGGATGGGAGTGGAAAAAAATTCACACATAATGTGGACTAAAGGGGCAGAGTTGGGGCTTGGGACCCTCAGAGGAGGAAGAGAGCGTATGGGGAGGGCAATCTGGGGGGTTTCTGGGGAGGAAATCCTCAAGAGCCTTGAACTGGTTCAGCCAGGCTGTGTCCTGGAGGTGTGGCTGGAAGAGGGATGGAAACGCTTACCTTTGTCCCCCATCTGGGTGGCAATGGTAGATATGCCTTCTCTGGAGGGTTGCTCTGTCTTTGCACATTCCTCAGGGAACTGAGCTTCCATTGATCTCGGGGGCCCTCACTTCCCCTTTCCTCCCCGGGTTAGTCTTTGTCTCCATACTCAGGCTGCAGTTACTCCAGAGAGGCGCGGGTACCTGCCTGCGAATATCAGGCAGGTGGGTGATCATGCTAGAACGAGAATCAGGTGTGACTACTCCTAGTCCAGGCCTCTCCCTGCCGCCCCTGGCTGCCCCCTCCCCGCACAGCAAGAGGTGACCGAGGAGAGAAGTCGGGCACAGATTGGCGGACGAGCGACTGGGTTCCCGTAGGGGCCTGGAGACACTGTTGCGTTCGTGGGAGGGTCTCTCAGTTATTCTGTTTACCAAGTTCGGAAGGCTCCATAGAGCCTCCTCCACGTCCCAGGCTTTGCTCTAGCTGCATTAAGTCAACGCGTATTTGAGATCGAGTAAGGAATTCGGCCCGACTGACTCAGGCACTCAGTTCAGCAAAGTGCAAGTTCTCGCCCAGGTTAAAGCGGAACCTGCGACGGCGGCCCAGGAGTTGGCAGGAGCGGCAGCCAGGCGGCAGCCTGCGCCTTTAAGGAGCTAGGGGGGCGGAGGGGCGGGGCAGGAAGCGGACTCACGGGTGGCGCCGCCGAGGGCTAGGTCTTTTTT